AACTCCTGTGATTCTAACATTAAAATGTAGCCATTTCAAGTATCAATAGCACCTATGGGTGTTCTTCAATGAAAAAGGGACATCTGCTTTAGATGACACTGTGTAGAATGATAAGGGGAGAAGTTGTCCAGACTTTAAAAAAAGTTTTAGCAGTGAGTACAAGAAATAAATGTAAAGAATGTTTTCATGGAATATACAGAATGTGTCATAAACTTGTGTTCTGTCAGCTATCCGGAGGCAAAAATATAGCAGAAGCAAGGTATTTATTTTCAAGAACTAAACAATTGAGTATGTGTATATTTCCAGGGCAGAGCTATGTGTGGCATATTTTGCTCTGTTGTGTTTAAACAGAAAGGTAATATAGTTCACATTCCATCTGTATTTATTTTGTGAACAGGTAACACTAACAAGCTAAAAAGCTAAATATATCGTTCAAATATATGCATGGGTATAAAGAAGTATTAAACCCTCGGCCCTTTTTAATGTACTGGGTAAAGTCAAGCAGTGCACTATTACCAAGTAAATTTTTTCCTTTAAAAAGGTGCCCGAAAAATGAATTACCAGAAAAATTATTTACCCTATCTGCGGCTCCAGGTCCACAGTACTGCTTCTCTTGAACATCTGAGCAGCAGAGCACCCTTTACATGCAGGGACAGTGCAGACTCCAGTTGCTGTCAATCATCAGTTGGAGGGAGGAGCAGGGGAGTGGCTTCAGTGGATGTAAACGCACGCGTCCATGTATCCAGGCGAGAACGCGCACGCACAGATGTATCCCCTGTAAGGGGACAGAGTCACCCAAAGGCAGGATCATGAGAGGGAACATTCTTCACCTCGGGATTTGATAGCAGCCACAGTGGGAAAACGGAAATGGGCATGCAAGCAAGGTAAGTGATGGGGTCTACATCACTATGTTTATTTTTTAGTTAAGGTTTAATAGCACTTAACAGCTGAGCTGATGGACTACAATAACACCAATAAGAGCGGGCATGTTTTTCGGAAAGGTTTAATCTGCTCGATTGAGCAGATTAAACCTTTCCGGTAAAAAGTGCGTCTCTCCCGGGCGGCCGGGAGAGTTAGGATGTGTACTCACCGGCCCGAGCAGCTCCATCAGGTGACGAAGGGAAGGGGGAGGACTCCAGTGACGTCACGGACACCGACATCACCGGACTCCTTCCCCCTTCCCTTCGTTAGTCGACAGAGCCACTTGTGGAAGGGGGGAGGAGTCCGGTGATGTCCATGTCCGTGACGTCACCGGATCTCCGACGGAAGACCCGGAAGCCGGCGGAGAGGTGAGTACGGAGCCAAAGAACTTTGATCGATCAAAAAAATTAACGATTAATCAAGGGATTAATCGTTAATTTCCGCAGCCCTAATTTCTTCCTCCATTTCAAACCCATTGTAGAAATAAAGTGTGTGTGTGTGTGTATATATAATATAGTTTTGTTTAGATATTACATTTTAATCATAATAATGCAGCTTTCTGTAATCTGCAGCTTAGCTGACTTGTTCCCAGTTCTGATCACAGTAATGTTCTGTAGAATTTACTTAAGGGAAATGAATGAAAGTGCTGCTAAAGAAAACCTGTAGTGAAAGCAATCCAGGGCAGGCATTGCTGACTTCTGAAAATACTTTTTGCCTGGCTGTCTCTAGCCTCCCTGCTTCTGAGTAGTTGACCTGGAATATTATTATTATTACATAGGATATATAAAGCGCCAACAGTTTGCACAGCGCTTTACAATATAGGTACATATTAGAAGGTTGGAACTCCTAATTTGCATACTTGTTTCAGATCTGTGTCTCAGAATGCACAGAGCCATTGGATCAGCATGACAGCCAGTCAACTAGCATTTCAGAAGTAGAGGTTTATCAGTGACGGGTTCTGTATTTGCTCAGTACAGCTTAAAAGTGAGCAAATAATATAATGATGTGTTATATATTTTTGGTTAAATTGGTTTTGAGGTTATAAAGGCCTATTTTAGTTCTAATGTTTGCTCCTAAATATACACATAGCTTATAAGTTTAAAGAGTCCTCCATCTTTACAGTGGCAGGTGTACTCTACTCTGCACTGTTATCCTTCATTTATCTGAAATGTGACTGAATGAGTCCCATGCATCTTATTAATATTTATTTGACCAATCCTCAAGCACTGTTTTTATGCTATTCTCTGATTCTTCTGTCCCAGCAGCCCTGTAGACATTTGGAGTTCTGTATGTAACCCTACATATACATTAGAGAAGAGGTATGCAACACTGCAGGCCATGCCTTCTTCTGCACTATACAGTACTCTCATTCTATTGCTATAAAATTGCGTTATTGACTGTATGAAATGTTTGGTCAGTTCTAGTCGAGAGTGGCACATGCAGTTTACCCCTCAGTTGCAGCATAATTAAAATACTTTAAATTTTTCTTTATCATGGCTTGTTTAACGATGCGGTGGCATCATCACTGTGCTTCACATAACCTATGCAAAGAGCAGAGCTGTGGTAGGGACCCAGCATCTCTACTCCACCTGCACAGGAGAAAAGTGTCACACTGGATTACTGCACAGATCTGAAAGCAGTGCACAAGTGGCATCATCAATCTGCTGCCCATAACCTATACAGAGAGCAGAGCTGTGATAGGGACCCAGCATCTCCACCCCCACCTGCACAGGAGAAAAGTGTCACACTGGATTACTGCACAGATCTGAAAGCAGTGCACAAGTGGCATCATCACTGTGCTGCACATAACCTATAGAGAGAGCAGAGTAGCCTAGAAGGTCCACCAACTACAGGCTACCTGCAGAAAACTGCAGGAGGGTGAATGAAGATCTGCAATTCAGCTTTAACTTGCTTCAAGTATGATCACAGTTACCAATTATTATTTTTACAGAGTGTAATGTGTATAGTTATTAAGGGATGACAGGTTGACCCCTTTGGGGGAGGAGGTAAAGGACCTGGTACAGATAATGTTGAGGTGCAGCGGGCACAGCAAAGAACAACGTTTCTTTCTGAAGGCGGCACATGCTTCACTTTCGGCAGGAAGAGTAAGCAAAGGCCCAGGTTGCCTTACTGGGCAGTGAGAGACCCACATGTCACTGTGTACTGCAGGTAATGGGCAGTCTGCTTAGTTTGAACATTAAAGGGGCTCTGGTGATGGTGGAAGGCCTGGCATGTAAATTTTGACCAGGACTCATCTGGGATCTAGGAACAATGCCAAAACCTCCCATTAGGTGAATCCTATCAAAACAAGCCACCTTCCGTTCACCAAGCATTGCCAGTATTTGGGCCTCTCCTGTAAAGAAAGTGCATTTTAGAATGGTCTAACATGTATACAGCCTTGCCATAGCATGTGCTGAATCTCCCCAAATGATGGTTTGAAGTAAAGACTGTCAAGGTCTTACAACCTACAATCCTCCAATCTGTAAAAGTGTCCATTTGCTATACTTCATTACCATCTGTTAATTCTTAGAGGTAATATGATGTCTGTATCCAGTATATCCACTTACACATACAGCCTCACCTGTGCAGGAGGAATTAAAGGCTGCATAAGGCCCCCTTCACATGGCTGTTCCGATCAGATCCGTTGCCACTTTTTAGGTGGACGTGAACAGAAACGTAATGTAAGTCTATCGTAAGTCGGATGCAAACAGACTTGTGTCCATTTACATCCAATTACCTCTGAGTCCATCTAGGTCCAAAAAAACCCCCCAGAAAAGACTAGTTGCGGACCTGAATGTGACGCAGTGGAGGTAACTGGATATGAATAGACACATGTCCGCTGACATTCAACTGCCTATAACACTAACATGGGTTCGTTTGGTTCAGTTTTTTTTCATCGTATCATCCGTCTCCATTCTGCTTAGATTCATCAGTAGATCTGTTCACGGATTCCCTGCTGATCGGAACGGATGCTGCCCTTGTGAAAGTAGCCTTAAAACACTGCCTCAGGGCAGAATTATGAATGAGCACAACTCCCTTTATTGTGAACTGTTCCATTCACTTGAGGTTGAAATTAATACCTGTGCTGTGCACCCACGCCTCTTATGCGACCTTAAAATAAAAAGACAAAGGCTGTACTTTCTTTTTGAAAACCTGTTTTATCATTAGTATGCCTTTCATGTGGCTTTCACCCATGTTTACTACTTTATCCAACACTGGTTATAAGCAGCAGTAATGCAGGACAGTGTACCAGGGTGATCTGTCCTATAGCCTAGGACATTATGTATTGAGGTGTTATCTGGGTTTGGTGTGAAGGTCAATAATCTAACTTGGCAGGATGTTCCAACTGCATGAACAGCAGCTTTGTTCCAGGAAAGTGTTTCAAACTGTTATCAGTCTCAGGCAGCTCTGCATGGAGAGGCCGGATGTGAAGTTTTGCTTTCTCATTACAAAATAAAGTCCACTAGAACATTTACTACCAAGAGCGCAAAGTTTTTGGCTTTGTTTTGTAATGAAAAGAGACGGATGTAATTAGTAGTAGAAATATGTCACCAGCACACCAGATTGATCATTAAAGCAGATAAACGTCCATTGATTGACATATGCTGTCTCATTTGCAAGCGCTTTCGGGGCCACGCAGGGTCCCCTTTATCAAGCGTCATCTCTGAGCCTGATAAAGGGGACCCTGCAAAGCACTTGCAAATGAGAGACAGCATACGTCAATAAATGGACGCTTATTTGCTTTAATGATTGGGCTGGTGTACTGGTGACATATTTCTACTATCATTTGGTGGCGGCGCCATTCGCTGTCATTCCTAGCACACGTTGGTGTATCCATATGGGAATTCCAGTAAGGAGTGCAGCAAGGATCTCCTATATCGTAGATGTAATTAGTAATCACTATCTTCCGCCTTTTTTGTACATGACACATATATTTTTCATATTTGAATAAAGATGGTAGTATGCATGGGATGCTTTGCACATGAGCCCCAGGGGTTCTGCCTTTTAGCTGAAACCTTTTAGTTTCATTAATGTAGTTTTGCTGTGGAAATATTTATTTTTATGTCTTTTAATTACAGGAAAAGAAAATATTCCAGATTCCATGGATGCACGCAGCACGTCATGGGTGGGATGTAGACAAAGATGCCCCTCTGTTCAGAAACTGGGCAATTCACACAGGTATTCAACACATTTCTTAGCGGATAAGGAACACATGCAAAGTGAAGTTAAACATGGCAACCAATCAGGATTTCTCTCCTCTAACATGGTTATAGAAAACTGAAATGTGTGTGCTTGCTATGGGTTAATCCACTTTGAACATCGTCTTTGCTCTTTAAACACTGTTGTTAAATATCTCAAATGTACATATTTATATAAATGTACATTAGTTAAAATCCTCAGCTCTTAGAGGGCATGTAATGACAATATTGTGTGATTAAAAATTAGATTAAAGGTTCTCATTCTCTTCCTCAATAGCCTGCTCCGTTTACAGCAGTGTGAACTTGGATTATTATTATTAATAATGTATGGATGATGTTGATAGGCTTGTTTTATAGAGCACAGCCTATCCAGCTGGCTTCATGCTCCCTCGTCATCTCATGACAAGAGAGCATGGAGCCAGCCTCCTAGCCAATCAGAAAGCAGGGCGTTGCATCATTACACGTCGCCCGGCTTCCTGATTGGCCGGCCAGACGGCTCGGGCTGGGTACCGGACGAAGGCCTTGTTCTCGCTGGAGAGGCCCCGGGGGATGACAGGCTGCACATACTAAGGTAAGAGGGGACTTTCTTGTTAATCGGGAAGCCGGTTGGCGACTCTTTACACGCTTCCCGGCTAATCAGGAAGCCAGGTGGTGAGTCATTACACGCCACCTGGCTTCCTGAATGGGACTTCCGTTACTCGGTAATTGGTATTGGCGAGTACCGAAAAAAAATTATCGGGTACTCGTACTTGGTACAAAAATACCAGTATCGGTGCATCCCTAGTTAAAAGAATATTGCTCACATAAAAGCAGTGGTAACACAGCATGGAATCTCTCTTAGGAGTACATGCAGGAGTTTCAAATGACAGCAGTCGTCGGTCGTAATGCTCATGCTAATGTGACGTCAGATGCTCCGCCCTACGCGCGTTGCATCTAGCATGACTTCATCAGGGATCCTGTTAAACCTGAGAGCTTCCCGTTCATGGGTAGCTAGGACACCGGCCTGTCAGCATCTGTGGTTATGGGAACTGTTGGCTGTAGCTGACAGTGGACGGAACCTGGTAGGGATGCTGAGGTACTAGTTCTCCATCAGGTCCACTCTGCTACTGATTGACAGCAGGCATCAACACGTCAACAGGTTATAAATCTGGGTCAAGCACTGACATTTGCACAAAAGGAGGATTTTAAAGAGTCTGTCTGTGTATATCTAAACTTTACCCATTAAAAATGTATGTAGCTATGTGTATATGGTGTGATTACAGACCTCCAAAGGGTTGCCCAATAATTCCTCATACTCCCTTCACTGAACTGCCAAAATCATCATCACCAGCTCTATTAGATACCAGTATGACTTCAAAAGATGTCCATAGCTTGGTATTATTGTGTGTGTGTAATATATATATATATATA